ATAATAATAATCTTCTGACAAAACTAACAGATTCTCCCTTCTCCTTTCCATGGATTACCTATATAGATGGGAAGCAGTGGGAGGAAGGTATTTATCTACAACTCCCATTAATGCTAATGTTTCATTTGAAATACAAATCATAGCAATGAGTGAACGAAAGACTCATGTGAAACAATAGTCCACATGTACAAAGAACAGATACCTCAAATATCCTTCAATTTGTACCAGAATTTAAGATTTTTTAAAAATACAGCTTTAGGGAAAAAGTCAAGCCTAACAGGATATAAATGCCCCAAAGGAAAACAGAAGGCATTTCACCTCCCTCTGTCTCACCTTGTTCAATACGTGTGGCCAGATATAACATTTCTCCCTGAGCAGCCAGCTGATGAACTGATAAAGCTGCAAAAAGGGAAGCAAAAGCATGTGTTACACACACCAATTTTCACTCTGCTCTATTTGGAGCTGGACATAACACGTTCATTGGCTTAAGCAGTACAGAACTTGGATTTGAGAGTGTAGATAGGTTTCACCTTATACTCTGAACTGGAATCACTATCTTAAGAATGGAAAAGTTTCCAAAGAGATTCATAGGTTTAGGCAATTTTTTAACCAGTGTATAAATCATACAAGACAGCAAAGATACCTCCTAAACTGACTCTTTACAAGGCAACATGTTCTCTGCTGCTTGGTCAGCGATCCAAAATCACTTTAAGAATATTTATCAAATGAAAATAAGCATCTTCTGATAAATTAAGACTATGTAGTTTAAAAATGACATCTCAGAGGTCACATGCTATCAGAAGACCCGTCATGCTGCTCAATAAAGCCCATAGCATGACTCTCACCCACTACAGTGTGGAACAGATCAGACATTACAAAACTATACACAACAGGACATCTACACGGGAAGAAAAAGACTGTGCCTTTTAAAAACTGTTTTTAATAAAAAGTATGAAGCATTAAAACCAGAATAATTCTTAAGAGATTATGAAGACAAAAATCTCATCCCACAGTAAACTCCACACAGCTGCATGGTTTTGATAATTAGAACTTGGAGCAGGTCTGAAAGGTGCTCAGGAGGAAATATATAAAACATAATCCACAGTGCATAGTAATAAAATAATCTAATAATTACATAATATGTAAACATTCACTGGCCTCTTCCTATTCACTACATAAAAGTTTGATTTTTTTTTTTTTTTCAGAAAGACTGCATATTTTGTTCAGAGGCCTAAGTTGCAGCTCCAGATTAATTTTTCCCATGCAAGCAGCCTTTTTTTTTAAATATAGGCCTTAAAATTTATAGAGGAAACAATTAACAGATGAAGTAAATTGCAGAGAAGTAATTTATAAAGAAAATGCTTGACAATTAAGAATAACAAAGTCCCATAAATAATACTGCCTTCTTGACTTTCAAGATCTGTGACAATCATGGCATTTGCAGTGATTTGCAGTCTGTAGCACTTATCAATCATCTAATTTTAATAAATTTTACAAGATACACAAGTTTGGAAAACAAGCATATGAAACACATTAACTTAAAGCTTAAAAAAGATCAGAAAAATCTTTCCTGTATTTTTAAAATCAAGAATTGGATCCTTTCTGGAAAATAGGCTTCAGTCATAAATTCAACACAGCAGGTGGATTACTTATTTTATGGTTGGAACCACGTGAAATTAGACAAGACTATCTCAGTGTTTTCTTCCTATATTAAAGTCTATTACAACATCAAAGAAAAAAAAGCAGAAAAATCTGTCAAGCATCTAACACACAGTTCACAAAATAATTATTAACAGCAAGACAGAAGGATACTTACAGTTTACAAGCAGAGGTGTTGTAGAGACTTCGTTTCCCCTGTGTTTGTTCGTTAGGGTAGTTGATTGTTTTATTGGTGAGAAATGCTTCGTAGTTGATGGAGTATAAACATGTCTTACTTGGATACCAGGGGAAGGAGAAGTGTGGATGTTGCACTCAGCTGCATTGAAGAGAGAAAACAGACAGGATTTCAGCACTAGTTAAGAGCATTAAAAGAAAGCCACAGACTCTTAAGTCAAACTAGAAAGCACCTGTGTCACAAGATCTTTAAAACCCACGTTAAGTAAGCTTGGTGACACGTGCTTTTCCCACTGTGTACTGTGAGAGCTGAATAAAGGGCTGTATTAATTCCTGGCACAAAGCAATGCTGCTACCCCACAGGTTCAGTACAGTGCAATGTCACCCAGAGACAGGCTGGGGTCTAAATGAGGCAAGCCTTTGTCTAGATTTCCAACACGCCTGGCATGGATTTATCAGGTAGGATGTCTCCACTTAGCCTGCCATAACCTCGCTAACGCTCTCCAATTGCTCATGCAATAACGTGATGCAGCTCTGGTCAGCCACGTAGTCTGGTAACAGCTCAGCTCATCCCCCTGCCCGCTGTATAACCAGTCCACTGCATGACTGGAGATGACCTTCACTCATTTTCTTCACTAGGACTTTTTCCACTCCTGTTGGATAAAATTGTAACTGTGTTATGAATGCCTTATGAGCGCTTATCCAGCAGGAAGAGAGATGTTCCACATTAACTTACACAAAATGCAACAGCAGGTCACCACTTAGAATTCAGTAAGTCATTCAGTGCTGCTGTGTTCATTTGGACTAACTGATGTAGCTTTCTATTAGAATCTAACAGCATTTTATTACAAAATATGTATGTTATCTATGTAAACTCAGTTATTGGCTAAATTGATTTGACACTGGTGTGGACTAATAATTAATGACTGGAAGCTAATTAACAGGCACATTGAATTCACACCATAGAGAACTACGTGGTCATAAACCCAAGCACAAATCTGGGGAGAGAACCAATTAAAAGTAGAGGGTAATGGGATGAAAGTGAAATTACATTTTGTTTGCCAAGCAAAGAGCTACAGCTGACGTGACCAAATTAAGAGACCTACCAAGGATTTTTGACCTGCGGTCCCTGGATCCGCAGGACTACTTCTAAGGGTTTCACAAATGTGAACCTTCCTCTAAGAAAAACACCCCTATCACTGATGGGTCTAAATTTGCCGTTCAGGTCTGCAGCTCCAATAGTAAGCACTAAGGGCCTGCAAATCAAAAAAGTTTGAAAATTACAATGGCTGAACTGCAGACAAACAATATAAATCATGAAAATCCGTAATAGGTCTGTGTTTGTATTTGTTACAGGAAATGGGTCAAATTCAACCTCATGAAAAGACACAGCACTAACCACCTGAAATATTACAGTGAGCACTGGAAAACCACAATTGTTACAGGGAAATAGATAAAAGTCCTAATTCTGCTGTCCATCGATATGCTCAGCCATGAAAAAGCACAGATCAGTTCTGATGAAGCTGCCCAGCAATGGCTGAAGACGAGCTGCAGGGATACAGAATGCAGCAACATTTGCTTTCAAGTAGTGAAGCTGAATTGGCGAGCCAACCACTACAACTGCAGGCCGTGTACAGCTATATTGACTAAAAAAAGTCAACCGCGTGACGTACATTATTTTGTCATCAAACTAATGAAAAGTTAAGATGTGCAGCAGAAAGCTACTGAAGTTGAAATTATCATACGGTACTCTCTTTACTTTCTGTAAAGACACATACATTCAAGAAGGTGTAGCATGTTGTAGGACATGCTACATAAAAGAAGTAAGCTGGTTTTCATAATCAGCATCAGCTCTTATTAAATTACACTAGAGACTTTTTGTGCCACTACTTTTTCAATTTAAAAAATTATTTTAAAAATATTTTAAAAATAATATTGTGGAAAAATATTTTTACATTAATAATTCATTAAGCATATAACAAAAACGGCAGGGGAACAAATCTTAGAAAACTATAACTGATTAACACACATATAACACAGAGATTTTTTTTCCCCCCACCAAAAACGTAACAGCTTAACAGGATGACACAGTGCACATGTAACAATTTGTACCATAAAGTTCAACCTTTAAATAAGACAGATGCCACTTCAAGGTCAGAGTTAACTTGGTCTTGAATATTTTTACTGTCTTCCTCATTCAAAGATTTGACAAATCGCGAGCAGACGTTCATATCAAATCTATTGGGCAAAATGAATTTCATTCCCATGGCAACACTCTGGGCTGGGCCTTCCTCTGTGCTAGAGTCAAGCTGATGCTCCACTTTAATGTCCGGCATGGGCGGAAGGCTGTAGGTAGTGGGACATTCTTCTACAATTAACTGGTCCCCAGCATCTAAGTTTGCTGAAGATGCCATGGCCTCAGTCGTGTAAAAGCTTTAGGCTAAGTATTTCTTCATAGTTTCTAGCCAAGAGCCGTTCCGACCAAGCAAGCCGTATCTAAAGAGCTCCAGATGTTTGAACAACCTGCAACTGAACACATGTAACACAGGTTACCAATATTCTGTATAAAAATACACCAAACTTGGCTTCACTTAAACTTATGGCATTTGGTTCTGACAGTCAAAACCTCGGTGAAACACCAGTCTTACTGCCACCACAAGCTATTGACCAAATTGCCCATTTAAATTTTATCACATGGGTATTTAAGCCAAATTCCGTAACGAAGCCAGTAGATTTCACCTAAGTGATGTTTCAGAGTATTAGTCTGGCTGCAATAAAAACCCACCACAACCAACCACGTTTATACCAACACAAGAACAAGCTATGGAGAGAAGATGACTTTATTGCCTGAAACCATGAGACCTGAAGCAAAAGTTGAAGTGATGTTATGTCCCCTTATGACTCCAAGTCCTTTCAGACCCCGAGTGAATAACTGGCTCCGACCGTAGGCGCAGGAAAACGAGAACACCTCTCTGAGACGGAGGACGGCAGAACATCCCAGATCACCTGCGGCTTTCGCACAGCACCGCGGGAGGCCTGACGTGCCTCGGGCCCCG